AAAAAAATTTTTTTTTTTTTTTGCGGGCAAAATGGGGTACTCCCTGAAAGAGTGAAAAAAAATTTCTTCATCCGAAAATGAAATATCGTTTAAAAAATAACATTTTCTTATCGATAAGTCTACGAAATAACCCAAAGAGAGGAACAAATCACCCAAGAAAGAGACATTGTTAGTTGAAGCAATATATTCCTAACAAAAATTGAGGTAGTAAAAAAAATTTTAAAACTTTTTCGTAATTTTTGACGGGTTTCGCTTGAGTAAAAATAATATCAAGATATAAAAAAAGAGTTCTCTTGAGAAAATTCTAGTATTTGGAACTCCTGGTGAAAAAAATTTTAGACTCATAGTTCTCACGCAATTCAAAGTAATAACACGAAAAAAAGATTCGTAATTTTTTTTGCACTCTTTTTTTTGGTTTAGGGATTCAGGAAAATTTTTTCAAGTTTAATATCTTGTAGGCCTGAAGATTTTACTTTTTAAATTATATATCTCACAAGCGCATCAAATGATTTTGAAGCAATTGGCGGCCTCTGACTCAGTTTTCTGAGCATTTATAGTTAAATTATGTCATCAAAAATAATTCGAGAATCAATTCGACGTTATTTGAAAAAGACACTTTTTTAAAATAATTAGTGTACGATTTCTCTTCAACACATCGCCCGATTTTGATGCGGTTTGCAGCTGTCAACGTCGTTTTTTAAATTAAAGAACTGTTTAGATTTTGGAATTGATTGTTACATCTGTTTAAAAGCTGTTAAAAGAAAAAAGTTGTTTTCAATTTATGAGGAAGTCTAAGTTTCGCTGAACCTGATAGTAATTTTAACTAGACTCAAGAGTAAAAATCTTGAACCAAGAACACCAATTGGGAGAAAATGAATTTCTTGAGCCAAGAGGAAAAATTTTTGAGTCATGATAGATTCTCTTGAGTTACGAAAATATATCTTGACCCAAGAATTTTTCCTCTTAGCTCAAGAAGTTCATTTTCTTCCAATTGGTGTTCTTAGTTCATGATTTTTGCTCTTGAGTCAAGTTAAAATTTCTTCGTAGGAGTATTAAGAGCTACTTCTTAGGACCTTAAAAATGTGGAGATCAGATTAGAACTTGATTTTCGAAAACTGGCTTGGAACCAATGACTTCCCGATTTTTTTTTTTTTTAAATCATTTATTTGTAAAGTGAGAACTTAAAAATTTAGAAAAAAAAATTTTAGATGTGAAAAAAAAATTATTATGATGCACAATGGCGATAAAAATTACTGCACAGTAAAAAATTTTTCGTCAATTTGTAAAGTGTAAAAATTTTTGTGTAGCAAATTACACCTTAGTGTGTATAATTTTACATTCTCATGTGTTGATTCAACACACTAGAATGTAGAATTAACATTATTTTGTATAAAAACAGTCAGTAACACAAATATTTGTGTTAAATTTGACGAAAATTTTTTTACCGCATGTAAAAAAAATTTTTTTTTCCTCTGAAATTGTAGGAAATGACGTTAAAATATATTTTAGAAAGCTAAAAAAGCTTTTTGGAAAAAAAAATTTTTTTTAAGAAATTTTGGGGGTACCCCATTTTGCCACCCCTACCCCATTTTGCCCCCCCCCCCTATATATATATGATATTTATGAAATATATAAAATATAGGAAAAGTGCATGTGGGTACTCAAATGAAAGGTCTCGATGAGTGTAACATCGGGATGAGCTTATATCGTTAAAAACATCATTATTAACAAAATGCAATAGTCATTTCTTAATTATTAAAATTTTAGCAAATATAAGTCCATTTTGATGTTATTCTCATCAAGATCTTTTATTTGAATGCCCACATGAATTTTTTTTATATATTTTATATATATGATATATATGAAGTATATAAAATATATGAAAAGTGCATCTGGGTACTCAAATGAAAGGTTTTGATGAGTGTAATGTCGAGATGAGCTTATATCGTTAAAAAAACATCATTAGCTAACAAATTAAAATAGTTATTCCTTAATTATTAAAATTTTTCAAATATTCTTCAATATTCAGCCTTATCATCCACCAGAACCTTAGCCAATAAAATGTCACATTTTTTTAATTTTCTCACTTTCAATTTTAGATTTTTCATTACACTTAATCTAAAAATTTTCCAGCAATTAAAAGAGCAAATTAAGATTAATCAGAAAAAACATTAACATAAAAAAATGACTCTCTAATCATCCTTATCAACAAATAAAGTCCTTATCGTAAAAAATCTAATATCAACTCTCTAAACATGAATAAGTGAATATTCACTTATTTAAGTGAGAACCGAGCCACTGACTTGAAAAAGTGGCTCGATTGGCACTTAAGTTAAGTGAATATTCACTTATTTGACGAATTTTCACTAATTCAGTTTTAGGGAGAAAGCATAATAAACAATATCAATATAATTAAACAAACGTGCGTGCCGTAAAACCGTCCACCGAAATGCGGTTACACGTACATCAAGATAGTCACGTCAAACACAATAATTATTACCCAAAACCCTTTGTCATAAAACCGCGCTTCAATAATTAATAAAATTAAATAATTAATAGCAACCACTCGTCGCTCATCACCCGTTTTCTAGACATTAATTATCCATAAATTACTTATTCACCGACCGGATGCTTTATTTAATTACACTTGCCCCTTTTTCTGTTTATCTTACTCCCATTATCACAGACTCATTTTTCGTGACACGTTGAATATTCATGAGTTTCAACACTCGGTCACCGTCAGCTCCATTTATTTATTTTTAAACCCCTACCGTGATTTCAGTTTCATCGCTAAAATAATTACCGTCAAAAAACTTGCCAACTGTTAATTATACTATCATTTTTCGAAAGTTTTTACATCCGAATAATTAACAAACTAAGTACAAACCTTGTAATTATAATTAACGCCACTATTTTTCGGATTTTTTAAATTAAAATCCAGCTATTTTATTTTTTTTTTTTTATAAATAGTTAATTTTTTTACAGCACAATAATTATATTATAAATTAACGAGATTACTAATGAATGTAATTATTTAAATTTATCAACAATTCAAAGTGTTGACAAGTGTATTCAGGGGGTTGAATTTATTCGAGTGGACAAAAGGATCAGTAAGGATTTTCCGCAGTACAAGAGTCAACTGTTGTGTAGGGAAAATCGGGTCAGGATTAAAAGCAGGTGAAAGAAAAATTTTAACAAGGGTTACTATAATAATTGTAATAAAATTTAATTGACAAAAAAATTAATTTTATTCAAAAAAAATTTTTTTAAATACTTAAAATTATTTTGAATTAAATTTTATTAATTTGAGATTTTTTTCATTTGGTTTAAGAAAATTAAATTATTCAAATAAATTAGAAATAACAAAAGTTTGGAAAATCCAAAAGTGCATGCCTCATAATCTCATTTTCCTTAATAAAATTGATTAAAATAAAATACAAAAAATACTTTTAAATCTTTCGCGCCATTGTCTACCCAGAAAAGAAAGGTACTGCGCATGTGTTGTAAACGAGCCTTATTTACATAGATATAGATATACAAACGATTAGTGGATTTTTAGTTTATTGCTAATTATAAATAAACTACATTGAATTAAACCGTGATCTTCGTAAGGACAGTTTTAAATCATACTGAAGCGTATAAAAAATAAATGGACTTGATCAGTTAAGTTTTTCGGCAGTTATCGTGACCACGCCAGTTTCCATACATACATTTGACAGCCGGACGTCTACGGAATAATTTTTTTAAACATTTTTTTTTTTTTTTAAAAGCAAAATGTCTTTTAAAAATATCATGTGTTGAAATTAGTGTTTTTCCATGACATTTATGTGTAAATATTGTTCTACAAGTGCGATAGAAAATAAATAGAGACAATTTTAGTTCAAGAAATCGCTTGACTTTTGTAAGGCGAATGTAGAGCACAACCTCATCCGCTTCGCTTATGAGGCGTGCAATTACAAAAAAAAAAACACAACGTCATTGCAATTATATTTTTTTTTATTTTAAGAATTTAAAATAATTGTTTTGTCACTCTTTCCTACAAATTACATTAAGGTTTATTGTTTCTTTATCATGAAACATTAAAATTTGAATGACTCAATTTAAACTTTATATTCGCCGCAATTATCGTGATTAACTGTGACCAATGGTATGGAAGTAAGTCCGTATTTTTGAATTGCTTCATCTAGTTTGTGTCTGTACTCTGAGCAATGTCCAACAGATTTTGCGAGATATGAAATCCAGCCATTTCTCAAAAAAAAAAACAAAATTTATTTATAAAAACCGCAAGGTAAATTTTGAATTTTATTGATCTCCTAAATTAAACTTACGCTATCTCATCCTGGCATCCCAAATAAATGAGGTAGTCATCATTATTGGTGTCAATATCAAGGTGAAAGTTGATCCCGGCAAAGTTCTGCTCGACGAATTGATCGCTAAGTCAATCGTCTGATTCTTAATCCTTAATTCAAAGGTATAAGACTCTCCTTGACGAGTTCTACATATTCAAAGACACAAATTAATATCATCACTTAAAAATAGAGCATAGTCATAATAATAGTTTGTAAAATATACACATAATTACTTGTTTGATTTTGAAAACAAACTTGAATTCCAAGTGTTGGAACTAGTAGGTTCCAAATTTAGCATAGTACACTGTTTTGATGCGGGAAGTTTATTGGGACTGTCTACACATCCGAAATAATTTCCAGCAATCTAAAATAATGTTATTTTGTTAGAGCTATATAGAAGCTTCGTTGTAGAGATCAATGATTAATATTGCGATGTTCGGATGAATATAAAAAAATATAATTTAAAACAAACCAAAAGTACATGTCTTATGACGTTCATTTTATGTTTAGAAAAAAATAAGATGTATTACTGTACAAAAAAAAATTTTGAAGAACTTCATCTTCTTGATTTAAGGAAATTTTAGTTGAGTCAAGAATTTTCCGTCTTGAATCAAGTTAATTTTTTTTTTCAGAGTGATTTATTTGCATTGTATGGACAATTCAACAACTTGTACTTGAATTTTAAATTCAAATATTTCCCGCCATTTTTATCTCAGATGAGAAAATTATTATTCATTTTTATTTATTTATTTTTATTGATCATGGGGATAATTCTCCTTTTGACCACAAATCCAAATGATTACAAAAATTGAAAAAATTGATATACGTAAAATTGTTTTCAAACAGGATAAAGCTTCGCATTATGAGGCGTGCAAAAAAAAAGATAGGCTTACCGCAGTGACATTTACAACCACATTTTCCAATTGAATGCTGGAGCATAAATGATTTTCTATTGCCCCGGATCTTATTTAACCGAAAACGGCAGCCAAGACGCAGCAGATAATTATGAAATTCTTCATTTTTTATGATTATTGCTAAGAAGTATAATCTTTAAAACTGTACTTTATATTAGCTTTAAAATCTGACGTTTATATACGAAACTTCGCTAGGCGCGATAGGGGAGTTGGGAATTCGATTGGTCAAAAAGAAGCATGTGATAGAAACTGCAAGAGTGGTTTCAATGACTTACCAAAAAAACAAAACAATTAAAATTATCTATCTTTATTTCAAGAACATGAAGCAAACGCTTACTACACAATAACGTGATACTGATTTTTTATCAAATCGCATACTAGTATTTTAAAAAATAATTTTTTATATGTTTTTTAGTGTCACGAACGGAGTGAGTGATGGGCGCAAGGAATATGAAATAGAAATCTCAAATATCCGAACGTTATCACTTTGTCACTAAGCATCAACTTAGAGAGTAAGGATGATGGACTCTTGCTGACTTCGGTCACGAGTAACCTATTCTATTGTTTAACTCAAATCTTATTTGTAATAGAGATCTTATTTTATTTAATTGTATATTTTGATTTGAAGGAAAGAAAAATATAATTCTGTTATTTGAATTTTATTGAGACAAACCAGTTAATAAGTTTACAAATTTGGGTTACAATATAAATGTTAAATAAAAATAGTCATAAAAAAAAATGAACATAAAGGTTAGATATAAAAGATAAAAATATAAAGTAAAATGTTTTGTACGCTTACCCTGGAAGTCTGCTCTTTCGAGAGAGGCCCTAAGTTTTATGGGACTTTCACCTTCTATGGGTATTGTTCACTATTGAATCACCGTATCTCGGATATTCCGGAGAAGTTAAGTAATTTAGATAATGAATTTTAAATATAATCGACGCTTTTTAGCGGAAAAATATATCAAAATGAAGCTTCGCGAATTTTCACGAAGAAATCCTTAAAATCTAGTCAACGCTCTTCGGCGGAAAATAATCTTCGCGATTTACGCGGACAAATCAACGCTCTCTTGGCGGAAAATAATACACAGAAAAAAAAGTCATCTTGACTCAAGAAAATCTTTTTCTTCAAAATTTACTTCTTGTTTCAAGTTCTTGTTTATTCTTGAACTAATAATGTCATATACTTATCCTAAGTAAATCTTTCTCTTGGTTTGGTAAGTAGCGCCAACGTTGGCGACGTGATTTTTTGGAACTAAACCAAGATTTTTTTAATAAAAAATTAAATTTAAAAAAATAACCTTATGCATGATTTTTATTGTTTGTGTTCATTTAATTAGACATTTTTAATTAATTTTTAACTTGCTGATTTCCCATTATATTACTGATTTACAATTAAGTGTGTAGTGACGAAAATATTTGTATAAGTATTCGCTCGACTCATACAAAGTACACGGTTAGAAATTTGTTGCGCTAATAACTCAATAACTATAAGTAATATCGACAATCAGACTCAATAACTATAAGTGATATCGACAACCAGAAAAAGATCCTTAAAGAGGAGGAAATTTCTGAAAAAAAGTCTCGACTCCCGGAACTCTAGCTCCATAAACAATAATTTTTATTTAATGTTGAAAATGGGTTTCCGCGCGGCTGCTGTCCTACTCGGGCCACGATACGCCCGTGTGTACATCAAGCAAGTTCAAAAACCAAGAGAATGATTTACTTGGATTAAGAGGTTTTTTTCTTCACTTAAGTTGGTAAGCATGTTGGAACTAGAGAATATTTGCTTAAACCAAGATTGACCAAAACAAGAAAAAAATTTACTCAACTCAAGAATATATTTTATCTTCAGTTGAATATACTTGGATCAAGTAAATATTACTTGACTCAAGATGACTTTTTTTTCTGTGTACACTTCGCGATTTACGCGGGAAAAATCAACGCTCAATGGCGGAAATTAATAAAACAAAAGAAAATTGGAATATAATTATGGCATATATCGAATAGCCAATGAATCTACCACGTTAGTGCTACTAAGTGCAGCCTAACCACGAGCAAGGCACTGACTCGTATATTACGGAGTCTATTGTGCTTCCGAAGAATTATTTGCCCGGAGCCGATCGATGCGGAGCTAACCAGTGGTATCCTGGTCGAAATCGAACTGCCTAAAAATGATTTTCGGGCGGTTTATAAAGGGTTAGCAACATCGGCGTCTGTATGGGACTCATAGGTAAATTAATTCAAAAATTGAGGGAGAGCTCAAGGGTATTTTGCATCATCGCGTTTCTAGATTTTTCGAAACCCGGATAAATCTATGCGTAGTTTGAACTATTGCCTTATAGGTCTTATTTTTACGACTTTAAGCGGAAAACGTGAAGGTGACTTCTGACTTCATCATATTACAAATTTAAAAGTTAGAAAAACAAAGTCGTTAAATTCTGATTATAATAATTTTGTATATAAAAAGATCCGGGTGATTCGTATGAACGTCATCTAACCTTTGGAAAGTTAGGCCAGATTACTCTTCTACAGACTTCAAGGGTATGATAAATTGTAAATTAAAAATAAAAAGTTACATATATTTAGAAGAAAAACAAAAATTTTAGATTTTAGCAGACGTCACATTAGCTTCAAAAAATCATTCCGTTAATCAAAAAATAATTAAGTTTTAGAGATAATTTCGATAATTGATACAAAAATAAAATAGTTAATATCTTATTTCGCAACATTTTATTTTTTACTTTGTTATAAAATTTTAAAAGAATTGTTTTTCTGTTCTTTCTTGATGATTGCGCAAGGTAATAATGCAATTTTTACTTCTTTTCGTTAAAAAATAAATTGTCATAGTCAAAAATATATCTAAAGTTTTTATTTCGTAATTTTTATCTACAACATAAGAAATAGCAGCAATAAAAATAATAAAAAATACTTTAATTACTTTTTTGTTTTTTTTTATTTTAAATAAAAGATTCTCAAGGTAAAAAATCATTGAGAAGAATTTTATCGTTTTAAATAAAAATGACAATTTTTTCGGTTAAAAAATTAATTTTGAATTATTGTAAAAATTTCCGATCTAAAAATATAAAATTCACCCAATTAATAACCAAAAATTTTTTTTTAACAAAAGAAAATTTCAAATTTTTTAAATAAAACTTTCTTTAAAAAAAATACAAAAGAAATTTTTTTTAAAAATAAACTTATCATAAAAATTTAACTCGATAACTTTGAGCGACGCTTTCCCCTTAATTCAAGTTGAATATTTGCTTTGTATGCAAATGCAAGAGCGGAGATGAGTAGAGGCGGTGTAATAAACGGTTTGGTACATATGATGCTTGCAAATGTATGTCACAATGCGTGACTAGTATTCATTATTTCAGCGTGGTTTACTCATTGTATAAATCTTCCCCACGCGTTCAAGGTGTGTATTTAAAAAGAGAGGCGAGATGAAAATTTGAATAGATTTAATTTAATGTATATTATAGCTTTTAAGGGTTGCTTATGAAAAGTGTTGCCTTTTTAAAAAATCATAGCATTAAAATTTATACTTAAAGATAAAATTAAGATAAAAAAAAATTAATGAGTCAAGTATTTTATTTTTAATAAAAAATTCCCTCAAAAAAATTGACAAAAAAAAGCCACTAAATTAATTCCAAGTATAGAATTAAAGTTTCTTTTTTTTTTTGAAAAATTGCAATGTTAGCCTACTCATCTTCATCTTTTCACCCTTATTTTCCGTCGCTTAAAGTATCTACTACACTACGACTGCAGCTTTTTGTTCGACTTTATAAAAGTTGAGAAAATAGAGGGATAAAAAACATCGACGTCGATGGTAATATAAATTACGGCAATTTTCCAGATCACTTGACAAGCCCTCGTAATAATTCCAAAATATATATATAATAATAAATCTACAAATCTTAGTATATGTATCTTAGTATATGTATCTTATGTATATATACTTATATTGGCGGGAGAAATAAATTTTTAATTAAAACTTTTATTGGTCTGTTCGAAAAAACGTTATTGGATTTTTTTGTTTCTTGTTTCCACAATTAAAGTGTTCGCAATCCTTCGGTCTATAAAAATATATGTTTTATTTTATTTAACTTTTTGTTTCGCTTGTTGGATTCTTTAAGTCACGAAACGAGATAGAGAAAACGATAAATTCTCGCTCAGTTGTTTTTGCGATCTTAGATTAGTACGTGTCTTGGTTTTTTTTTTTTTTTTTTTTTGTTCAAATAACTAAATAATAGTTACGATAAAAATAACTAAACTTATCTTAATTACTGATTTTATTTAGCTTACATCAGCTGATTTATTTTTAACTATTTTAAAAGTTTAAATCTGTGATATCATTTTTTATTTTTTATGATAAGTATTTAGGCTGCATTCGAAAATTCTCTATCTCTAGATACATAATTAAGAAATTACCTTGTATCTTGTGAACTATTGGCATTTTTAAAGATATAAGCTCATCCCGATGTTACACTCATCAAGACCTTTCATTTAAGTACCCACATCAATTTTTCATATATTTTATATATTATATATATTTTACAAATACCATATATGTAAAATATGTAAAAAAAACTATGTAGGTACTTAAATGAAAGGTCTCGATGAGTATAACATCGAAATGAGTTTATATCTTAAAAAATGTCAATAATTAAGAAATGACATTGTATCTTGTCAACTAATGATATTTTTGAAGATATAAGCTCATCCCGATGTTACACTCATCGAGACCTTTCTTTTGAGTACCCATATGCATTTTTGATATATTTTTCATATATATATATATATATATATATATATATATATATAAAAAATTGATGTGGGTACTCAAATGAAAGCTCTTAATGAGAATAACATCGGGATGAGCTTATATCATTAAAAACGTCAATATTTAAGAAAGTACAGTGCAATTTAACAAAAGTCATTATTTAATAACGCAAAATTTTATTAATTTATATTTCACAAGTCACAGCAGTCGCATAGTGACTGCAGGGTCGCTAGTTGTTATCCATTTTTATTTCCAAAATAATTTATATGATTTTTTTTCCTATGAAAAATTATCAAATGCAATTTTAAAACTTAAATTTAAGAATTAAAAAATTTTCTCTTCATAGTTTGTTGACCTTTTATATTTATATATCCTAGCTCGTCTACAGAAAATATTTCCACTTGACTCTTAATTAACTTTTGACATTTATTATTAACCATCCAAACTCAAATATTAGCCGACTAAACAACCCGAATGTTTCTATTTACTTTTTTCAGTGGCAAAAGGTACGCCGGCTAAAATTACACCCGTGGAAGATCTAGTGCCAAAAGAAGAAGCACCAATTATCGAGCCAATAAAACCGTGAGTACTTTAACTGACTATTACACAAATAAATCTACAATATATAAATTCATAAATTTAAATTCAATTATTTATTAAATTTCTATTAAAGTTCTAGTCATTAAAAAAAAAGAAAAATAACAAAGCAATAAAATAAAAAAAAAAAAAAATAAGAGGGGTGAAACGTAAATAAAACCTTGTCATTGGATCATTTTGATCAGGCATTTTATTTAATAACGAGACTTCGTTATCTCCTAGTGTTCGTAATACTCGTGAACCGGAAATGCTTCCAGTTGATTTTTTTCATTTATATTTATTTTTATTTATTTATAAAATTTTTTTTCCACCGTGTGTACATATATGGGACGTGTATATTTATATTTGATCGAATCCCTTCCTCTTTTTGTTGGATTCATTGTTTGCCGGGATGAGAAATCTCACACATCTGACGCTTTGACCCGATTTTTATAACGTCCAATGTCTATTGGCGCGGAGAAATATTCCATATATGAAAAACAGACTTTTATTTCTAACATCCAGCTTGTCATTTGTTGCATTTTAAACTTTTTAGCTTATAGTTAATAACATTGATCGCAAACACTAATAATAATAAAAATAAAATTTCTATTCAATTAATTATCTATATTCTTAAGAGAATAAGAAAAATTTTGTGAAACATCATTAAGAGATGACCTTGTATCTTGTGAACTATTGACATTTTTAAAGATATAAGCTCATCTCGATGTTACACTCATCACGATCTTTCATTTAAGCACCCACATCAATTTTTCATAAATTTCATATATTTATATATATTATATATATCTATATATGAAAAATATACCAAAATACATGTGGGTACTCAAATGAAAGCTCTTGATGAGTGTAACTCCGGGATGAGCTTATATCGTTAAAAATATAATTAGTTAACAAAATGCAACAGTAATTCCTTAATTCTTAACATTTCCGTAAATATAAGTCCATTTTGATGTTACACTCATCAAGAACTTTCATTTGAGTACCCACATCAATTTTTCATATATTTATGTATATTATACATATGTATATATGAAAAATATATGAAAATGCATGTGGGTACTCAAATGAAAGCTTTTGATGAGCGTAACATCAGAATGAGCTTATATCTTAAAAAACGTCAATATTAGTTAAAAAAGTACAGTGCAATTTAACAGAAGTCATTATTTGATAAAGCGAAATTTTATTTATTTATAGTTCACATAGTGACTGCTAGTTATTAATATTATCTTAGCTGAAATATTACAAATACAAAAAAATGATGAAAGATTTTTTTTTAGCAAGTTAAATTTTTTAGAAAAATCATCTTAATGAATTTTTTCATATTTTTGATATTTAGACAGTATATTGATTTGAAAAAAAAAAATAAAAAAATTTTATTTGATATATTTATTCGATTGTTGATTGATTACTTAATTAAATAATTTTTTTTTTAATTTATTAAAATAGAAAACCAGAACCAGGACGACCAGGAAGCAGAACTGGAAACTCCTGCAGAGTTTGCCTCAAGGCCTTCAAACCCGATGATTTCTCACGTACCTGTTATGAATGTCACCTCAAGGTTTGCGATGATTGCGCCTCTTATTCAGAAACAAAAGACTTAGATGATCCAGTAAGTATATTTGTTTTTTCATTTAACTTTTTAATTATTATTTCTACTTCATAAATAAATGTCAATAAATAATTAACCGTCGCAAAAAAGTTCAATAAAAATTAAAAGTGACGTATTTTAGTTTAAATATGGTAATATTAAAGCTCACTGGTGAGTTGATTCCTTAGAAACAAAGTATGCAATAAATATTAATGAATATGTATTTAGATGTTAATTATTCATTCATTAACCCGGAAAAAAAAGTTTATAAAATTCTAAATTCTAAAGTAAAAGTAAAAGGACGTTAAAAATAATCTGGGATCTGGGTCATGAGAATTTGTTTACACAGCTTTTTCTTTCTTTTTATTTTTTACCGGAGGAAATTATCTATTAACATCTCTCTTGGGAGTAAAATTGGAGGAAGAGAAAATCGGAATTACCGCGAATGAGGAAGTAAATGCAAGATAGTAGTAATTATTAAATGTGAGTTTAGTTTTTAGTTTTTTTCTTTGAGATTGAGATTACCATTTTTTATGTGGATTAATAGTTTATTAAAAAACTAATTTTATTTTTCCTGTATACATTAATTATTATTATGAGATTTTCTTTCTACAAAACTTGAAAATTGTTTTTTAAATTGGATTATTATTAATGATTATTACCTACATAATTACCAAAATAGGAAAAATTTTATTTACAGCGTATTTATTTGATAAGATAAATAATTTTTTAGTTAAAATTAATAAAATCGAAAAGGTCGACCTTAATTTGTGCTTTTTAAAAATTTCATATGCTTTTAATAGATTAAATTTTTACTTAAAATAAAATTTATTTTTTTTTTACATGTCAACATATTAAATGTCAAATATTAATCCATATATTAAAAAAAAAGGCAAAATTTTGTTCCAAGCATATTTTTATTAAAAAATAAATTTCTTTTATTGACAACTATTGACATTTTTAAAGATATAAGCTCACCCCGACGTTACACTCATCGAGACCTTTTATTTGAGTACCCACATCAATTTTTCATATATATTTCATATATTTATATATGTATGTATATATATATGTATATATGAAAAATATATCAAAAATGCATGGGGGTACTCAAATGAAAGCTCTTGATGAGTGTTACATCGGGATGAGCTTATATCTTTAAAATATATATTATATATATGTATATATGAAAAATATATGAAAAATGCATGTGGGTACTCAAATGAAAGCTCTTGATGAGTGTAACGTTGGAATGAGCTTATATCTCTAAAATCGTCAATAGTTAAGAAACTACGGTGCTATTTAACAAAATTCATTATTTAATAAAGCAAAATTTTATTTATTTATAGTTCACAAATCACGGCAGTCACATAGTAACTGCAAGATTGCTAGTTTTTAATATTTTTTAAGTTGGTCAATTTTTTATCTTAAGTTTTTAGCGGAGTTTTTAATAATTTCTTAGTTCTCTAATTTTATTCCATGAAATTTGTTCATTAAATTTTTAGTAATTAATTCTATAATAATATTATTTTTAAAATTCATTTCAAAAGTATTCAAATGATCTTTATTGAAATTAAAAAAATTATTAAGCTAAAATTCTATTATTAATTTATAATTTTTAGTGTTGCTAATTACTATCAAATTAAGCCAGAAACTAGACGATTGAAGTACTAATTAAAAACCCTAAAATCCTTTTCAGTCAACGTGGCGGTGTAGCATTTGTCGGCGTAAAATAGCGTCACGTGGGCAACCAATTGTAACCCAAGAATCAACAGACTCATTACTAGAAGTGCCAGTACTCGAAGCATTACAAAGACGTCACAGCGATGCAAGGCTAAGTTGTCAAAGCGGCGGTCCAGCGGCAACTCTTGGGAGCGGTTTGGCGCCACCGCGGAGCCCGGAACTGAGAAGACACTCAGATGTGTCGCCCGCGAGCCTCAAAGAGCTCGAAAAGGTAAAACCGCTTTAATATACATTATGCGTCCGTCTGTCTTTCATCTCGAAGCTCTTATCATAGATATATATTCAACGCATCACATAGCCGACCTAGAATTTTAATAATCCGAGAGATGTTTGTATCCAGTCGCATTTATTATTGTCAAAAAGCTTCAGCACAAATCTCGAATCTCTTTTATAAACAACTTTCAATTAATGAAAGCATTTAATTAATTGTTGTTAATTTCTCAGAGTACAACTAATGTTTGCTCGGATAAATTGTCAGCTTTCTCTTCCCGACTCCTGATTTCTCTGCTTCAGCCTTTAGACCCACTCCAGAGAAGAAACCGTGTTTAGTTGTTTAGTTTGTAAGATGAGAGTTATCAACCGAGCTTTTCTGTGTGACAAACCGGTCTAAGCTTTTAGTGTTGCTTGTTAATTTTATTAAACTTCCAGCTTGAGAATTCTTCCAACACCCCTGTATCTCATTTTCATTTTTTTCGCTCCGGTAGAATTCGTTTCTTCTAAATTTGCTATACAAAAAAAATGAATAGTAAAATTTAGGTTCTGGTCATTTTTTAGAGTTTCAAAGGACGGTTTTAAAAAAAAATTTACTTAAATCGAGTAAATAATTTTGAAGAATTTTATTTTGATTTAAGTAGAAAAATTTTTAAACTAAGAAATTTTTATTGGTTTAAATAAATTTTACTTAACTCAAAAATTTTTTCATCTTGATTCAAACCAATGAAACTCTTCAAAATTATTTTCTTGGTTCAAGAATTTTTCTTTTAATTCAAGTTAATTTTTTTTTCAGTGTACTTAAATATTTTAAAAAGATTTTATAAATAAAATAAAAAGAAAAAATTGCTTTCAAATAATTTTATTACTCTTAAATTAATAGATTAATATTTTTATCGAGCTGGTAAAATTTGATGTTTATCCTCCCAAATATGGTCTCCAATAATTGCAGCACTGCGCAACACCAACGCACTGAAACAGTTTTTTTGAATTTATTTTATTCATTAATTATTTCCAAATAATTTCTGAATATCTTCAAATTTTAAAGTATCAAGTACAAAATAATACTTACATCATTGTCAACTTTACAATTTGTTCCACATGATTCAATGGCGGTAATCAATAATCCACTTATACACAATAAAAAAATTTTCTTTGACATGTTAGTTCTTTGCCAAAAAATTTTAAGCTTTGAAAAAGTGATTCTTAGCTCAGTCTAAATTTTTCAGTGTCTGATTTTTATTTCACAAAAATTTGCCGGCCAGAAAATAATCAAAGTTAATTAAAAATATCTCTATAATCACGTGATTAATGAACGATTGAGAAATTCGGGACATTGTGGGTTTTTTACCAAGTATAAAAATATTTTCGGTTAGTTATAAAAGTCTTATCCAAAAACTAATAATAGTATACGTATTTTTAATTATTTAATTGACTATATAGCCTTTTATTTTTTAATTTCGCTTGTAAAAAAAAATTGATATAATTATACTTAAAAAAAAAATTAATTAATTAAAAAGAATTAATAAAATATTATTTCAATCAATATATTTTAATCTATTTGCGCTTCTCAGTCTCTTCATCTTTTTACATCTTCTTTTTTTTCTTTCTAGTAAAATTAGTTTCTCTAAATTAAAAACTAAAAAATTGAATGGTTTATTTTAATAAATTATTGAGCCAAGAAACCGGTGTCTGGAACAAGAAACCCATATCTTGCAGTATCGACAATAATATAAAGGCTTCATAAAATGAAATGAAATAAAATACTCGTTTATAAGAAAATTTATTTATACAATCATTTTCAATTCATTAGATATCATTTGAATAGTTTAATAAAAAGAAAGTCGCATTTTTTAACTGAATCGGGTGAATCTGCTTCGCATACTGACCAACTTGGTCTCCAATGAGCACAACAATCAAGAGCAGAGGTGCACTGAAATAATTTGTTCAATTTTTGATAATAATAATGGAAAAAAAGAATTTTTTTATCAAACTTTTTAATATTGCAATAATTAAAAAAAATTATAATACTTACTTCTTCATATTGAGACTTGCAATTTGATGCACGTGATTCAATTGCAGTAATCAGTAACATAATTATACACAAGAATAAAATATTATCTTAGACATATTTTTTATGAATTAAAAAATTTTGAACGATGAAAAATCAAAATTATTACAAACTAGCTCTTGATTTGATCGAAGTTTTTTAGTATCTGATTTTTATACCGCAAAAATTTTCGGGTTAAAAAAATTATCCCCGTAATTTAAAGATAATTATAGTATCATGATTAATGAACGATTGTGAAATTTGGGACGTAATTGGTTGTTATCAAGTATGAAATTATTTTTGGTTAATTATAAAAATTATTAAGGACTAATTAGTAATTAGACATATCCGAAAACCATCACCATTTTATGTATTTTTAATTATTTGATTGACTAGATATTATTACGTATTTTTTTGACGTTCTAATTAGCTATTAATTTTAAATTAAATGAACTTTACTCGTTAAAAAAATAATAATTACTCATTTTTTAGAAACAATTCTTAGTTCCTAAAAAAAAAAAAGTTAAGTACATAGTTAATAAAAAAGTAATACAATTTTATTTAAAACATTACAAATTAATTTATTTGCAAATCTCAGTCTTTTAATTTTCAACCTTTTAACATTTTGGTCGCTGCATACGATTCAGCTCTCATAAACACGCATCTTTTTGTTGAAGTAAAATAAGGATCACTTTTACAAGTAGCTAGATAATAATTCATAAAATAAATACAGCAATCTTCATCATTTTGACACTGCAATTAAATTTTTTTAGAAATAACTCTTATGAGTTATTTATATATAATTATTATATAAATAATAATTATTTAAAATGTATACATACTTTTTCACTATCACTTTTGCATCTTGACCCACAAGTATTAATTTTGTCTACCAAAAGTACTAAAATAATCAAGAAAAATATTTTTTACATTTTTCAACAAAAATTAACTTCTGACAATATTTACGAGTGGATTACAGTACTTATCAACCTCTTAAGCTTTAAAATCATCCTGTAAAAATTTTTGCTAGCAATAAAAAATTATTAATAAATATTTAATAATACTTAGAATTTTTTATTGATATTAAATTAGACAGATTTTGTAATTATTTATATTTAATTTTAGATTTAGTAGAATTTTTAATGTATCTTCAAATTTATATCAATAATTATTATCTACTCAAGATAATAAGCGAAGTCGCTAGTTTTTATTATTATTATTTTATTTAATGAGTATACAATTAATTTTTAAACTTTCAATAAAAATGTCAAGTAATTTTCTTTAGCAATAAAAACATTTAACTTCAGCAATTAATTTAAATTAAAAGAATTAAATCTATAATAATAATAATCGATTGGATGATCCTGACTTAAAGATCACCGGTAATAAAAATAACAATAATCTTATCGAATCTATCTCTAAAAATATTAAAGCTCTTATTTTTCTCTCTTTATATTTATATATCTTCTATATACATGAGAAAAATAAAATAAAATGAAATAACAAGAGCAGTAACCAACTGCCGACTGTGTGAGCTGGTGATGTTCTCGATCGTCCGCAGAGTAAGCGCAGCTGTCCAATATTGGTGTACACTGACATGAAAACCCAGCTCGGGAATCGGTACTCGGTCTGGAACACGATAGTCTGCACAATTCCAAGAAATTTACAGTACTAAGCACACACTGCGAAATCCTACTTTAAATTGAATTGCACGCGGCTGCTGTTGATTGCGTCATCATCATGGAAATGTCATTTCCAACTGTTTCTCCGCTACTCTCTAGCGCTCACTCGTCTATTTTTCACCCCTCGCTACTCTTCTCATTTACATCCCTCGTCCATCCCCGCGCTAATTATGCGCTAGTTTAGCATTCGGATCACTAATTTTAAAATTATATTATTTCTCAAACTCACTTCTCTGCTATTGTCGTCAATTTCTCGTCAAAAACACGACAATTATTTTCATAAATATTCTCACAATATCTGACGTAATTGTGAAGAATTTCAGAATTAATTTTACTCGTCTATTAACAAAATATCTTCTCATTTATTTTCTTTCATTTGCTCTATCGGTAATATAATTTAATATTAACTACTCGGAGAGAATTTAATTCTAACTGAAATACTAAATTCTAACTTTAGATAATCTAAAATTTGTCAAGAAATAAATTAGTTTCATAATTTTAGTTAGGAATTATTTAATAGAAGCTTTGAGAATAAAGAATAGTAATATTTACAATTTTTATGGTAGTGGTTACTATCAATAATGGTAAAGGCTACTATCCAGGATGCTAACCCCTATTTAAGATTCTAAAAACTCTCCAACTAAAAAATTATATTTAAAAAATAAATATACACACTTGGAATTATTTAACATCTATTAAATACTGACTATTTAATTATATACTACAGAGTTTGTTGAGACGCTAGATTATAACATCAAACTTAATAAACTAAATAAATAAACAATTACAACAGCAGGTTAATTATTGGATAAAAATGAATACTACCAATCTACTCTTATTAATTTAATTATAAAATATGTCTTCTTTTAAAAGTTTTAAACTCTTAATAATTACATCTTCTTAAACACTCGAAATATTTTTTATTTTACAATCCACTGTCTCAATAAACAACTATTATATTTTATTAAACTTATTCAAACATAAATAATGGATTTTTTACCAAAATATTATTTTATATTTAACGATAAAGTTATTTATAAGATTTAAAAGAGTTTAGGTGTAACAATGATTAATAAGTATTTGTAATATGTAATGGTTAGTGAGGATGCTTGGGTGGTGACTTTTATACTTTCTGATAGTAACTATTACCGTCTCAATTATACGTATTATTAATCCAATGTTTTTGGGGGTTACAAAGTTGATAATATAATTTAAAATGTCAATTTTGAATTGCAACTGTGCTTTTTGGTTGATTGTCCCAATATTTAATGATAAAGTTTATAATATTGATATTGACAATATTTTATAAAACCAAAAATTATCAAATTAATATAAAAAATTTTTTAATTTATCATCAGAATACTTTCTCTATTTATTTTATAATCCAATTAGTACCTATAAAATTAATTAAAAAAATTACTACAATAAAAATCAATCTTTACGACAAAATAATCTGCGTATAATTATTGAAAATAAAAAATAACTCCAAAAATCTGTAATTAATTTAATAGTAAGGTAACTAAAATTATAAAAATTAATTACCGATACTTTAATTTCTCTATTTATCGGGTTCAATGGAATTATTTATAAAATAATTAATTTTGCAGCTGAATTTTCTCCGTTTAGTAAATCTAAGTTATCTAAATCAAGAATAAATGATCCTTAAAGTAAACTTAATAAATGAAAATAAATTAAAAGCACATATTTACATGAATTGCATTTGAGATGCAATGATGCACGGCTTGATGGCTTCAACTCACCCCGTATAATAAGTTAATAAGCTCTCCGTAATATATCTGGATGTCTAGATGTCTACATGTCTACAATTAAACTTGACTGGCTAAACTGTTACTGCTGAGCATACATCCGCACCCTCACACATATATAATGGATATGGCATCCAACATATTGAGAGCATATCATGTATAGCATACAGTGACGTATGCTAGCAACTGAAAACTGTAGTTATAACAACAAACATTTCCCAGGCAATACAACAGCAAATACACTGATAATGCATAATAGAAAGTCTTGTGCAGAAATGTGCCTCTGCCTACTGTATAATTCCTAACTGTCGTGGTGTGTCCTTGCTTGTGCCCTAATCACCCCGTAATTTTGTAGTTTCGAAAGGTTGCAGGAGAACGCCGCGAGGAGCTCAGATGGGAGCGTGAGCTCGAGTGGAGAAGTAAATCCCGCAGTGGGTCACCTGAGAGGCATTCCAATGATCGTGGACGACCTACTAGTCCATCGAGGACTGTTAAAACTCCTTCTATTGGTAATTTTATTTTATTTTCATCTGAAAAATTTTATATTTCTTTTATATGGAAAGAAATTTTAATACTAATAATAATCTACATTATTAAGAGAATAAGGAAAATTCTGTCTCCAGGATAGTCATCGGATAAAATCGATTTTTTTAATGAAATTTAGTCGTTGCAAAAGTCTTGACTTGAATTTGTGCCTTTTCAAGGTTTCATATCATTCTAACCGATAGTCAATTTATGATAAGTATTTAGGCTGCATTCAAAAATGCTGTATCTCAAGATACATAATTAAGAAATGACCTTGTATCTTGTGAACTATTGACATTTTTAAAGATATAAGCTCATCTCGATGTTACACTCATCGAGATCTTTCATTTGAGTACCCACATGAATTTTTCATATATTTTATATATTTCACAAATACCATATATGTAAAATATATAAAAAAGCCATGTGGGTACTTAAATGAAAGGTTTCGATGAGTGTAACATCAAAATGAGTTTATTTCTTAAAAAATGTCAATAAATAAGAAATGACATTGTACCTTGTGAACTATTTACATTTTTGAAGATATAAGCTCATCCTGATGTTACACTCATCGAGACCTTTCATTTGAGTACCCACATCAATTTTTCATATATTTTATATATTATATATATTTCACAAATACCATATATGTAAAATATATCAAAAATCCATGTGGGTACTCAAATGAAAGCTCTTGATGAGTGTAACATCGAAATGAGTTTATATCTTAAAAAATGTCAATAATTAAGAAATGACATTGTATCTTGTCAACTAATAATATGTTTGAAGATATAAGCTCACCCCGACATTACACTCATCGAGACCTTTCATTTGAGTACCTACATCAATTTTTCGTATATTTTTATATATTATATATATAAATATATGAAAAATATATCAAAATGAATGTGGGTACTCAAATGAAAGCTCTTGATAAGTGTAACATCGGGATGAGCTTATATCTTTAAAAACGTCAATATTCGAGAAAGTACAGTGCAATTTAACAATAGTCATTATTTAATAAAACAAAATTTTATTTATTTATTGTTCACAAGTCACGGCAGTCACGTAGTGACTGCAAGGTTGCTAGTAATAATAATAATAATGATGATGATGAAATTTCAAGTCTAAATTATTATTATTTTCGATTTTATTAATTTGGTCCTGAATTAACCTACCTAAAATTAAATTTGGCAGAACAAGAGGGAGACATCGGGGAGGATGAAGATGAAAGACGAAGACGCGCAGTCCGCAGAAGTGGCGGTACAGTTAGACGAAAATCCCGGGTAACAAGACAGCACTCGTACGACGATGAAATTAAATCAGGCGGAACCCTGAGCAGCGCTGGAGGAGGTGGAGGAGGTGGAGGAGGTGGAGGAGGTGGAGGCGGCGGGGGTGGTCAAACGGGCCATAATGAACCCGGGCTGGGTCTTCCGGTCCAGTTGCCACGTAGAGCGTCGGCTTACGATGTGTACGCGACACCCGGAAGCGGAGGCCTCAACGCCATGGCAATCGCCGCTGCTCAGCAACGAGCCTCTATTTCTGCACAAGGTACGATACTATTATATCCTGTTCTGTATTTGTAGTTCATTAGTTGTTTTTTTAGGATTAGGCTTACTATTTGGATGCGAGTCAACATTATTTACACTGCCGACACAATTTAATGTTTTGAAACAAGCAGAATCAAATTCTTCAATCAAGAATAATTTACTTGAAGCAAGAAAAATTTTTTAGTTCAACAATTCGTTTTTTTTTTTTCAACAATTCATTTTTTTTTTTCAAAAAAAAAAATTTTTTTCAATTAATAATATTTTCCTTGATTCAATTAATTTTTTTTTTAGTATGTACTTATGAATTTAAGCATACTGTACATATGTCGGTTCAATTATAAAAAAAGTGCAAGTGGATTTTGAAATGAAGTTCAGTCATTGGGGAAAAGCAATTTTATCTAGCCATCGATCGGTTCTTGCTGAGTCGTTCAGCTAGTCGGTACTTCGGTATGCGTCTTCGGGATTCTATTCTATTCTTCGGTTTTATCCGATAACCTTGGAATATCTTCAATGTCCTCGTCGCTTCATTCTAAAATCCCTCGGGTTTTTAGAATAACGCCGTACCGAGCTAGAATGGAATCTAAATTTACAGTTGCTTTTAGTCTCAAGAAGTTTCATATGAATTTTTGTTTGAGCTTTTTTTATTCAATAACCCGAATGAACAATCATTCATTTTATTTTTTCTACAATCATATTTAAGATTTTTCTTTCAAAAGTTTCATACTAAAATATATAATAGAAAAAAACATTAATAAATCACAGAATTAAATTAATAAAAAAATTACTGACCAAAAAAAAAAAAATATCAACCATTATTGCGAATAAATGCTTTTATATTGTTGACCTTTTTTTGATTCAGGCGCTCGAGAGCCCGAAGAACGACCGCTAGGGAGAAGACAGTCCTTCCGCGTCGTAAAACCGATGCCGTATGAAATGAATAATGACGAAGAGAAGATAATAAATTTGGACAACACTAATGCATCAGATTCCCAAGTCCTGCAGCCAGATGAACAGCCGAGACCTATGAGACGAAGAGCTTCTATGCTGTAAGTTTCTATATTTTATTTAATTTATTTTTTTATGAAAAAATACATCACGAAGAATAGATAAATTACCTCTGATTTTATTTTTAGAATTTTTTTAATTGAAAAAATTAAAAAAAAATTTTCATTTTTAAAAAACTTGAAAAACTATAAGTGCAATTTTAAAAAAATGTTTTTTAGTTCTAATTTAATAATTAAAAATTGAAAACGTTGGCTAATTTTTAGTATTATTAAAATATTGGGTTATAAATCAGAGATTATATTTTTTTATTTTAAATTGAATTTTTCAATAAGAAATTTTATCAAAAAATTGAAATTAAAAAGTGAATTTTTGAACAGCTCGAGCGAATTATGGTAAATAAATTTTTTAATTCAAAGCTTTAAAATTTGGTATGAAAAATATAAATTTGAAAATGATCCACTGTTTAGTTTTCTCTGAAAAAATTTAACAAATTAATTTTTTTTAATTCTTATAAAGTTTGAGTCAAAGTTTTTTCAATTCTCAAAAAATTGCAATAAAAAATAATTACCCAAGCGGCACAAAAATTCGGTAATATTTTATTGAATTTAATTTGACAATTATTAATTTTTGACTTATTGAATATAATCTTTCAAAAAAACCAACATTATTTTGCGACGCTTAAGTATTAAAAAAATTACAAAATTTGAACACTATTTTGACTCATAAATTACACTAGAATCACTAAAAGAGGATAAAAAATTCACAAGATGTTAGGAACAATAAAAACATTCAATTTTATAACAATAAAACTTATTTATTTAAACTAGAAGTCACAAAATTTACAAAATGTCCCAAACTATCGAGGCAAATTTTTTCTAATTCATTATCCTCCAGATAATAGACAATATTCCAACAACAACAATAAGGTAATATATTGTCAAACGACTGACTAATTACTTCCGCTGATCCCTCCAACAAAATTCTTCTTTTATTGCCGATGAATAGCCGGTTAATCAACAAAAGATAGAAATGATTTACCTCCTTTCTGCACCTATCAATAATATCAAAATACTTCACAGTCTTATTGCTTACGAACCGAACCATTCCTATTGCAAGTCAAAAAATGCCAAATAGTGTCAGTTCCACCGTCAAACTTCTTCTTCTTCATAAATTCAACCTCCATCATGATATCCTTTTTGATTCTGTTGATAGTCTTCATATAGTCTTCCTTCGGAATGCAGTTACGGATTGGACATTCCAGAATTTTCTTATCAATCGGCCACCCCATGGCGTTTTTCGTGACTGTCCAGTACACTAAGTTCACCACGATTGACTGAATTTTAGAATTCGTTCGCAAGTAGTAAATTAAATCAGAAACTAAGAACTCACTGTCAATAATTTTAGCAAGTTGAACGGTCTCAAAATCAATTTCTGCTGGATCTAAATCACTTTGGAACAACAGACGTGTAACTCCCAACTCAAAACCGTATTTAATCATATAATGAATAACAGTAGAGTGACGTTCATCGTCAGGAAAACGAGCATTGACATCCGCGCCATTTTTTATCAATAAATCCAAAATATCATCCTTGGCCTTCTCTAAAGCCGCCTCTTTTTTGCTGTACATTGAAAGCTTCCTGTTAGCGTTGACTACGATAAAGTGCAGCACGGGTTGCCCAAAAATGTCCCGCTCGTTGACGCCAGCTTCTCCTTCGACCATAAGAAATTTAACCATTTCATAGTCAGTAACTTCAACCGCTTGCATCAAAGTTGTTTTTTCCAATGCAGTTTTTATTTTATGGTCCGCACCATATTCCAGCAACAAAAACGTCATTTCTGTTGATTTTCGGAAAATCGAAAAGTGGATTAATGGAAGGTTGTGATCTCTCCATAAGTCAGGAGAAATTTAAATATATTGTTGGGAATAATTTAATAATATTGTTGGGAAATCGAAGATTAACCTCAGCGCCATGAGCTAGAAGCAAATCCGCCATTGCTACGTGATTTTTCAACACTGCAATGTGAAGTGGAAGATACAGGTCCGATGACGTTGCAAAAACACTAGCGCCATTTTCTAGAAGAAAACGCGCGCAATCTAAATGATTCCTCAAAACTGCTAAATGTAACGGAGTAAATCCACGAATTTTAGTTTTGAGTAAAGCAGAATTCACGTTAGCGCCTTTTTGGATCAGAAATTTAACAATTTGGTAGCACCCGTAATTTGCAGCCACGTGGAGTGGAGTCCATGTTCTCTTGTCTCGTTTATTTACATCGCTGGTCTGAATGAGCAGCTTCGTTCTTCTTAAATTTCCGATTCGAATTGATTCATTAAGCGACGGATTGAATAATTTGTCACTTTTTAAATTTGTACTTAAACATTTTTTCTTCAATAACTTACAGATTTTTTCACTTTTTCGTTTTGAAACGGTCTTCGATAATTTATTTGCTTTAAAAGCTGAATGGACTTTTCCGTTTATTCTCATTATTTTTAATATTACACGTGTTTACATTTAACTTTAAAAGGAAATTTTTAAACTGTAAAGTATTTTAATAATTTTTAACACGTGATCGTTGCACTCAGATACTTATATCATGTTTTTAGCTTATATTCTCACTCATTCAATATCCTTAAAGTATTTAATTAATAAAATTAATTTATCACTTAAGAAAAAAAATTAAAAATGACAAAGAAAAAAATTGGAAAAGTTATAGAAATAATTTCACCAAGAAAATAATTTTTTAATAATAAATAATTAGTACTAATTCGTGAAAAAAATGTGTAGCATTGAATGAGAGAAATTATTTGAGGAAAAATAGGCCACACAAACGGTGTACTGCTGCATAGTACAGTATAAATATAATTCTACCTGAGAGCTCGATACTTTCTCAAAAGACATATTTTATAATCGTGATATATATGTTAATTGATCTCGACTAACAATAAATTAGACGTTACCTATGATAATTTAAATGCATATAAACTTTTTAGTGTTTAATAAAAATTGTTTCGTTTAGAATAAATTTACTTTTTTGGTCATAGTATTTTATTTTATTCTTTGTTATGAAGAAAAATCGATGAGTATTATGTATTAGTGTGTTGTAAATTTTAAATTGGTAATGTGTAATTATATATTATTCGACGGATAAATTTATAGGCACGTGTGAGTTTGTAAGTCACGTTCGATTGTTAGACTTATAGGATTTTCCTTTCTTTTAGGATTTATTAGTTTTTTAGTAAAATTTTGGACACCTGTTGAATTAATGAAATTGTATAATAATCAATATAAAAAAAATTAAAATTTAAGTAATAATAATAATATATGTCATTATTATTATTTTGACATTTAAAAAAATAATAATCTATATTATTAAGAGAATAAGAAAAATTTTGTGTCCAGGATAGTAATATGATAAAATCGGTTCTTTTTTAGTAAAATTTAGTGTCATTACAGAGGTCTTGATTTGAATTTGTGCCTTTTCAAGGTTTCAGATTATTCTCACCGATAGCCAATTTATTATGATAAGTATTGAGGCTGCATTCGAAAATGCTCTATCTCTAGATGCATAATTAAAAAATTACCTTGTATTTTGTGAAATATTGACATTTTTAATGATATAAGCTCATCCTGATGTTACACTCATCGAGACCTTTCATTTAAGTACCCACATCAATTTTTCATATATTTATATATATTACATATATGTATATATGAAAAATATATCAAAATGCATGTGGGTATTCAAATAAAAGCTCTTGACGAGTGTAACATCGGAATGAGCTTATATCGTTAAAAATATCATTAGTTAACAAAGTGCAGCAGTCATTCCTTAATTCTCAACATTTTCGTAAATATAAGTCCATTCTGATGTTACACTCATCGAGACCTTTCATTTGAGTACCCACATCAATTTTTCATATATTATATATGTATGTATATATGAAAAATATATCAAAAATACA